GCGACGTCCACGTAATTACGCGGTGCCCGCCACTGGGTCCATGCAGGCGACGTGCAGGCGCGCCGCCTCCAAGCCGCAATCCGGACGACCTGCTCGGTGTCCACGCCCCTCGCCCCGCGCTCGTTGAGCCAGTTCGTGAGCCATTCGCGGAGGGCGTTGTGGCGTGCCTGCGTGTCAACGCCCGCGTGGCAACCCAGGGGGCGCGTCGGGGCGCGCGCTAGGTCCGATCCGCAGAGATGCCCGTCGGCGCGGCGGCGCTGGCAAGTGGCGCGTGCGTCCGCGGGCCGCGGCAGCTGGAGGCGCAGCGCCAGCGCCGGCAAGGTAATGCTCGTCCGCCAGGCGGTGGTCGTCCTGCGTGGGCGGGACGAGCCAGCTGCCATGGCAACTGCCTTCCCGCTCGCCGAGCGCAGCGGGGCAGCTTGCTCCGGCGGTAGCGCCGCCAAGAGGGTTTCCCGTTTTCGTCCCGGTCGTGGCGCGCAATAGCTTTCTGCACCTTTGGCCTGGGCTCCGCCGCGGCAGTAAGCCACTCGCCGGCGCCGAGCCGGAACGCGTTGCCATCCTGCTCCGCGGCGCTCCAAAGGCCGGGCAACTCGAGACGAAGGCGTCCAAGCTGGCCTCGCCCAGCTCCCGCCGGACGTCCGCCAGGCAGCCGAGCCACGAGCCAACGAAGGCGGCGAGCCTGCGCTGGGCCATGCTGTTTACGCCCACCCCCCTTCCGCCAGAGGAAGGAAGAGCTGCTACTCCCGCGCATTGGGCGGCGGAGGTCGCCCGAGCAGGCTCTCCAGGTGCTCCACCACGTTGACGTCGTAGTCCCGACACCACTCCTCGTTGACGAGGTGGGCCCGCGCGTGGTGCAGCGCCTCTTCTTCCTCCTCCTCGTCGTCCTCCTCCTCCTCCTGCCTCCTGCCTCGTCCTCCTCCTCCACCTCCTCCTCTTCCTCCTCCTCCTCCTCGTCCTCCACCTCCTCCCCCTCCTCATCCCCCTCCTCGTCCTTTTTCTTCTCCTCCTCCTCTTCTTCTTTTCCTCCTCCTCCTCCTGTTTCTCCTCCTACACCTCCTCAACCTCCTTTCCCTCCTCCTCCTCCTCCTCCACCTCCTCCTTTTCCTTTTCCTCCTCCTCCTCCTTTTCCTCCTCCTCCTCTCTCCTCCTCCCCTTCCTCCTCCTCCTCCTCCTCCTTTTCCTCTTCCACCTCCTCCTTCTCCTCTTCCTCCTCCTCCTCCTGCTCCTCCTCTTCTTCCTCTTCCTCCTCCTGCTCCTCCTCCTCCTCCTCCTCCTCGGTCGGTCGGTCGGTCGGTCGGTCGTAAGGCGAGAAGTTCGTAGCCTATACAAGGATGGAGCAGAGCAAAGCAAAGACGGACAAAGTGAAACACATGCACGTGCAGAGGGGAGGGAAGAGGCGGACCACGACCGAGCACGCCCTCCGCGCCCCGCGATGGGGGGGGGCGGGACAGCCCCAGTTTTCCAGCATCCCTGTGAGCCATGCAGTCATTGGCCATGGCATGATCCATGTAGCGGTCGAGCGGAAAGAAGAAATCCGCAGCCCACTCATGGAGTTCCCAATCGACACTAGACCCATGACAGGATGGGAAGGCCAGGTGGATGGCAGAGAACAAAGCGGAGGCGAGCAAGCGACAACGAGGCCCAGGATAAACCTTGGTCTGAGCTGTCGTCCACTGACGCCTGTCACCAAGTCGCTGCAGGCTGACGTGGGCGCACCCCCCACACCTACCCCTCCTCGGCTTGCAGTCCACCAGCCCACGGAGAGCAGAGCAATGAACCGCGAGAAGACGAGTGGGGTTCAACCAAAGCTCTACCCCTGCAGTGTGCGCAACGTGCCTTGGTGCTATGACATGATAATCCCCCTTCCTGCGTGCCCCTTGAGGCGTCCTTGCCTCTTGAACTCCTACAATCAGAGTCTTCCGAAGTTGGAATTGGTACCTAGTCATATGAGACCGCATCCCTTGAACTAAAGCCTGGGGGGGGGGGGGGCGCTTCCTGAATTGGGAGAGGGATCTGGTGTTGTACTGCGCGACAGTGAGGGTGATAGTCTGCTGAACCACCCTAGTTGTTGCATGATGCGCCGTGTCTTCGACGTGTCCTGTCATGCCCGGTTGAGCCCCCTGGAAGGCCAGAACCTGGAGGTCCCCCCGGGTAGTTGTGACCAGGGGGGGACGCAACAATGTCTTCCTGCGAGGCGTACCAGAGCCACTCCCACTCTCGACCTCTGTCGTAGCCTAATGAGAGAATCAACGACTCAAGGAGGACACTCGGCGGTAGTGTCTCGCGCATAGTGGCTCGGGCAACGATATCAACAAGCGTGTTCCACGGGTGCATGTCATGCCCGTGCACATGCGCGATGTGCACGTCCACGCGCGCGCGCGCCCGCTGCAACAACACGTACGTGGCGCGCGCAATGTGTCGCTCGGCCTTGCTGTCCGAACGTCCGTTGGGGAAGCCAGCGGCATTGGGACTGTCTGACCATATGTATATCGGAAGGCCCCCATTCATGCCCCATGGAGGCCAGCAAGGCCCAAGCAATTCCCAACAACTCAACGTCTGTGCCGCCCGTTTTTTGGGGAAGGGGCATGTCGCACGAGCGCCCCCATCTGCTGCAGAGGAACCCTCCGTAGGAGTGGCCGTCGCTGTCTCTTGGAACAAAGGCAACGGCCCAACTGGCCGAATCGGGGTCAGTACTGTCGAGAGACGCGTCTGCGTAATAGTGTAGCTCCGTCCAGTCAGCGAACCTGGGAGGGCACTGTTCAATAGCATGCCGCGCTGGCTCCTCCAAAACGGGGATGTCGTCGAAGCGCCAGTTGACTCTCGGCGTCGGTCGGCGCGGCATGCGGGCAGGAGGAAGAAGCCCGAGCTCACCATAGAGACAGGACGAAAGATGACGAGCACTAGAGCAGGCATGCTTCTTTTCCGAATGGCTCACGCATGCTGGAGCGGCATAGGAGCACAGAGGCAGAGCGCCTCGAGAGAGAGGTTCCCCGCTCTCGGAGCCCCCTGGCGCTTCGACCTCCCCCCTTGGAGTGGCCAACACGAAAGGGGTCCCCCTGGGTTCGGGGCCCGAGTCGAGAGGGTGAGGGGCCCTGTAGGCGCTCGAATTGCAGGTGCTAAGTTCACGCTCTGCTCCATCCGAAACTGCCTGGCTGTCTTGCGTCATCTCAAGGCCGAGGAGATGGCATGCATCCAAAACTTTTGCAGGAGAAGGGCTGCCAACGCATCCCGCGTGGGTTGCACTGACGGCGCCAGTCGAAGGTGTGCGCAAGGGAAAATGGGGAGCTGGAAGGGTAGCCTGAGTCGAGACAACCTCTTGGCTGCTGCCCGCGCTTCCTGCAGCAGGGGCTGAAGACGCAAGAATTGAAATCTGCATTATATTAGAGTCCGAATCGCTGCTCGCGATGTCTGGCACCAGATCCTGGTCGGTTATGTCTCCATAGTGCTGGGGACTCGAGTCAGGGTCTGGCGCTGGATCCATGTGCGGCGGCGCCAGCCGCGCAGGTATCCAACCATCTCTGCGGGCAAACCCCGCGGACGGTCGCGTGAAATTGCTCGGCTCTGGATCTGTGACGTGCGAGCAAGATTCCCAGAAACGATGGGCACCACTGGCCGCGTCGCTATGCCACTGCATGGGAAAAAGGAGTGGGGATGCCCGACCCCCTACGCATTCTGCCCGACTGGCGCGCGACAGCGTCCCAAGCAAACTCGAACTCTGAACGCCCAACATCTGAATCGTAAACTCTCAGACGCGCAAGCCTGCGGATGTATTCACGACGCCCCGGTCCTGCGAGGCACCAGGCCTCCTGGCATATTTCTCTCGCCGAATCGCATCGCTGCCCGAATGTGAGACCTGAGCGACGGAGAGTGTCACTGGTCCTAATCTGCTCGGCAACCCATTCTACGCAGTATTCTAGCCAATCATCTAAGGCATGATCAGCGCCCCGCGCTGTGGCAACGATAGCCCAGGGGCGAGCTAGTCCTGATGAGGTTCTGGCCAAGAAACGGCCCGCCCTGGCCGCGTCGCCACTTATTCCTGCAGAGCGGCGG